AGTAAAATTCGTTAAGATGTTTTACGTACAACGTAACAATCTCACTTTCTCCCTTGATAAATTGTGCTCGAAATCTAGGGGAGATTTCGTCAATGTACAGTTCTGAAAGCAATAGAATACGTTATTGTACTTTAAAATTTAAAGATTATTGATAGCTTTCTATAGTCTGTGCATGTCGCAGCGCTAAATGTTTGTTTGCACTAACATGAAACTAATAGTATTCACCTAAATATTAAAACAAATAGAACTACAGTTTCTATCCGTAAACGATGATTAAATTGATTGCGAAAGATATTTTATTTAGACATCGTTTGCTAAAACACCAGATTTTATAATTTCACACATTGAGCTATTTGAGTGCTATCGTTATTTGTTTCCCAATACATCGTTCACCTTGATTTATTTTATAAATCATCTCAATGATATTCATATTTGGATAAGAGCAATATTTTTAAAGAGTAAAAGTTGCTTTTTTATTTATTATATTTTAATTTCGCTCTTAAAACAATGATTTAATTATTATTCTTTGCTAGTAGCTTAGACATCAGAACAGAAGTTTTTTTGAGTGATTGGTGAATACAGCCAAATATTAGTAACCGTCATGGCGTTGGCTTGTGAACACTGGCTGCTAGTAGCTTAGACATTAGAACAGAAGTTTTTTTGAGTGATTGGTGAATACAGCCAAATATTAGTAACCGTCATGGCGTTGGCTTGTGAACACTGGCGTAGTCGGGAGAGGACGGGCATCCGGTCATGGCCCACCCCCTTTGGCTTGTATTTTTATTTTTCACCAGGAAATAATAAAGTTTAAATATTATAAAAATAAATAGAAATTATATGCAAATATGAAAGTTAAGACTTGGTCCCCCTTTTCAAATTCCTGGATACGCCATTGCTTGTGAACACCAAATTTATTGATAATTTACAAATGAATATTGCAAAATAGGAAAATACTGTCAGATTCAAAATCTTTGCTGAGATTTTTATCTAGTCATTGAGATCCAAATGATGATGGGGACTTATGTCTAAAACACAGCATGATGAATAAAGGAACGCTTTATAAGTAAAGTGTATTCTATTTTTTAATTTGAAATATTTGTTGTTGCTGTTTTTTTCCTAGGGCAAAGCTATATAATCAGTTATATGCACTCTGTCCACGGCATGGATTCGAACTCGGGATTTCAGTGTCGTAAGTCAGTAAACTCACCGCTAACTCACAGGGGGACAGTTTTAAATACAATATTATGATTAGACAAAAAAAAAGAAAGATTAACAACATTTTATTTATTATATTTAGAAATAAAAGCGAACTGGCCCATAATTCAACTACCATACCACGCTCAAAATATCATCAGTGCCTTTGACAAAAAATATTAATATGATATTACCGACTCGACTGTAAAATCTTGATCACAAATGCAGGATTAAATCAAGTTAAACTTTATGAACGAAGATGAAAGCTAATAATATGGCTACTGCTTAAGATGTTTTATTTCATTATTACATTATTCAGAGGATATTTACCGCACCAGTTGATTTGTAGCTATTCATATTTTAAACTTGATCACCAATAAATATATTGTAAGATTTTAATAAACAAGACAAACAAGCAAACAAAAAATGGCAAAGGGACATTCGAGATATTATACTTGACACATTGGTCACATGTCACTCATCACTAGAATACAACATAGTTGGAAACAATACTAAATAACTGACCAGAAGACAGAGGTGCTATAGACGTCGCCAGTAGGGTTACCTTACATTCATCAGTCATCAAACTTTTAATTTGATGTCAACTTTATAAGTAACTAGCTGAAGTAACTGTTCAACGCACGGGAGAGATAAAGGGATCCCTGGGGTGACTTGGGGGGGGCAGCTCTAAACGCGATCCATTAAGCCACTTCCCCTGGGGACTTAAGGATACTTGTCAGTTTTGGTGACAATTGGTCTCGCGGTTCGTCACCTATAAGCGGACGCATACACATATATTTTTGTCAAATAATGTTCAGACGTGTTTGAAAAACAAAAGTTGTTCTGTTTAGATGTGTAAAAGCAGTAAACTATCTTGAACATATTTCATTTTATATTTATACGACATTTGAGCAGTAGACTGCAGGCTTAAAAGACAAATAAGTTACCAGTGCACATTGAATATTTAATATCTTTAACTCTTTAGCTGGCGGAGCAATACATTTAATATCAATATATGTGCTTAGAATTACTTCGCAACAACATTGATATTAATAATAATGTGATTAAAATTCTATTCAGTCTTATTGTGATGTAATATCAGAATAATATACATATATTAGTGTAAAATAACTTTTTAAAAAGTATCATTAAAATTCATTAAATATGTAAAATTAAAAATAACCTTTTTTTCGAACAATGAAAAACCAATTACATTGAGCATAGTCACATATAACTGCAAGTTAGTAAAATATTTTCTGTTAAGGTTAGATTTTGGCAGCTTTTTTATATGTAAAAACAAACTAAATCTTAATGAATCAGGTTAAACTACTTGCTAGCTGTTTTAATGCCCATGAAACTACAGTATCCAGTAATTGATATTAAAAAATCGTCTTCAAATAATCCCAAACTTGACTGAAAAGTTGATCCACACTTTCGTGTGAATTAATTTGATTAGCTTCCATTTTAATTTGTATATCTTTTTTATTATATTTTTTAACATTTAATTTTTTTGCTGATTATTGCGTCATAAAACTAACCGACCCGGCATGGCCAGGTGGTTAGGGCACTCGACTCGCAATCTGAGGGTCGCGGGTTCGAATCCCCGTCACACCAAACTTGTTCGCCCTTTCAGCCGTGGGTCAATCCCACTATTCGTTGGTAAAAGAG